AAAAAAAAAAAAAAAAATCTGGTACATGTTCAGATACCACATCTTTACACAGTAATCTCTTTTGGTATTTAAGAAAGTATAGAATGCCCCTATTCTTTGAAATACAGCTAAGTCATCACGAAGGAGTCAAGCAACAGTTCACAACCCCCTATGGTTCTTAAAAATTCTGCTAGTTTCCCTGTCAAAGAAAAGAACCAGTGTCATCCAAAGAGCTGATGATTTAAGATTTGAATATTTGGTTTTTATAGGGATTTTGGTCTTTTTCTTTTTAAAATTTCTCTCCCTTTTTCTCCTTCCCCGGAAAACCAACAAGTGGAAAATAATTGTCTTTTGTAAGAAAGACATGATAGTTAATCCATCTCAATTTTAACATTTATTTATAGCTGTTTAAAGCCCTTATTCAATATTGTAAATGTGAACATTTATTTCATATCCTCAGTATGAACCATTAAAGCATCTAGTAAGAAAGATGTTAAAGTGAAGAAAAAAGAGCAGCCATTCAGGCCAGGGATTTAGCTCAGTGGCACTGCGCCTGCTGTGCAAGGTCCTGAGTTCAATCCCTGGTACAAAAAAGGAAAAAGCAACCATTCCGATTTGCTCTTTCGTAACTAGCTATTCACAGTCATGATCTCCTTTCCTGTAACCTGCATTGTTTGTTTATGTAATTTTTTTTGGCTTCTAGGTAACTTTTCCCACAAGACTATAAATATTATTAGGGCAAAGCATTTACTGGTTTTACATTCAGTGTTACTGGCCATGGGCAGTTTGATGCCTGACTCATTGCAGTGAGCACAGGCAACAGTCAGCAACAATTCAGATTCCTGGGACTTACTCCATTATTTACTCTTTTAGGTGGAGTTCTGGGATCTGCAATGTTAGTGCTTAGAGATGAAGTAAAGTCTAAGACTATTCAAATTTGTGAATGAGCCACACACTTACAGAAGTTAACTAGAGTCATCAAAGCACAATTACTGCAAAGCACAATTACTGTGAAATGTTAACAGTATTAGAGTAAAAGTCTGCAAGTTTCCACTTTCACTATATAAGTAGAATGAGCTCTGTCCAAAATGAAGTGGAAATGACTAATGCTAAAAGCGACTATAAGATATTTTTAATACCCCTTACATAAATATGACATATAAATTCCTTAAAATAACAGCATTCAACTTATTCATATACTTACTTCCTAAGATGATACCTTGACTATAGTGTATACATTAAAATGTCCCTGACAGCTTGAATCACTGTGGTATATCCATGACAGTCCCATTGGAGAGGACAAGACCCTGGATGAGACGGTCATATATGTATGGCCTCATAGTGAAAGTGTTAACAGCTTAAATAAAATAATGAATGAAAAGAGCTGATTCGCCAAATTGACAAAGGTACAAAGATTTTAAAAAGAAAAAAATTAGTCCAAGTGAAAACTTTAGAATTAAGAGGACTTTTTTCCTATTACAAACTGAACAAATACTGGATACTTACTCTGTGCAAGCAGGTGTTGTACTAGATATCTGTTAGTAGAATATTGGAGAAATAATGGATACAGTTCCTTCTGTCATGGGCCACTGAAACTAATCTAATGATAAGTAACATGAAGCTGCTTTGAGAACTTTTGTAGAGTTTTCCCTGGGTAGAAAACGAGGTGAGGGGTCAGAGAAGCATTTTCTAAGGGATGGCTAGTTTGAAATCTACAGAGCAAGTGGGTATTGATCTAGGAGAAGGAGGGAAAATTCCAGGGAGGGGAAATAGTATTGTGTTTCTCCAAAAATAGGACCAGGTCTTATATTAATTTTTTGCTCCAACAGGCAAAATAGGGCTTATTTTCAGGGGATATCTTATTTTTCTCATGTACAACATTTGACATACTGAATTATGAAGATTCATATTAGACACAACCACATCCTCGTGCATGTTACTCATGTGTTGTGTCTGTGCTCCACTCACCTGGCACTAAGTCTCAGTTCATCTGTTTACACAAGTGTTTATCTCTCATCCAAAGGTCCCTGCGTGGGTATTTACAATACTTAATTATATTTTGTTATCATTTATTTTAATTATTCATGTCAATATTTATTTACATTTAGTTATCTATTAATATTATAATTCAATATGTCTGTTCTGCATTGCAATGCACATACTAAATGCACATGTCTGGCTGATGATTTTAACAGGGCCTTATTTTTGAGGTAGGGCTTAAATTACAAGCATTCTGAAAAATCATGCTAGGGCTTATTTTCTGGTTAAGCCTTATTTTCAGGTAAATATGGCATCTAGAAGGATGCAAGACAAGGGGAACCTGGCACTTCAGGAAGTGAAAAATATTCGATGAGATGGGAGCATAAAAGAACGAAAGGTCATAAAACAATTCAGAGAAGCAGAGGGAGTAACCATCTCACAAGTGGGGGTAAAGACCCATGTTCAGTTAAACACAACAGGAACGTTGAAGAGTATTTTGAACAGGGATTTGAGAGGATTAGATCTGCATTTTATAAAGATTATCTTAGTGGGCTGAATTATTGCACATAGATAAGATGTGGAAGCTAGACCAGGCAGACATTACAAAATGGAAGCCACTGCATTCCTCTAAGTGACTGTGACAGTGAAAGTACAAAAAAATAAGATATTTTAGGAAGTAAAAATATCAAAATAACTTTTCCCCTTTTTCTTTTTACTAATCAGCCTAAACTAATTCTCATCTTTCTCTTTTTTGCAAGTTGGGACTTAACTAGTCATTTCTTGCTTCTTGGTTCAACTTAAATCAATTAGTTAGAACATTTTATTATAATTAGAAGAGCTGGGAGAAAAATAAATAAAGCAAATCATTGCTGAATATTTACTTAAATGTAGTGATTCCTTCCATTTTACCACGGCATGCTCGAATTTCTTGCTTGGGTTTAAGACTCTGTGATGGTAGAACATTGCCATACACAGGATATTTTTCCGAATATTCAGTTGTGGGGCAATACATTCCAGAACTTTCATAAATCCTTGTGGTTCCATGTGGACAATGATGCCGCCTGTGCAAACAAATAGACTGAAAGATTATTTTTCCTTAAAAAACATTTTGTGAGGTTATTGCATTTTAATCAGAGGCCTATAAGGAACTCAGAATGTCTAAACTTCAGAGTAGCTTTACTAGAAAACAGACTGTTCCCTCTACAGTGATGTTTACAACAACATTGAATAAATTGGTGCACCTTGTGAGGTTAAAAAACATGTTTGACTCCTATAGTAAATAAGGGTCATGTTGTGCTGAACACGGAAAAGCTCACACCTGCATTTTTAGGCCCTTGGTAAGCAAGTTCCACATGGAACTTAGGCTTCACCTGTTCTGCACTCACATGAGACCCATTCACAACAGAGCTACCCAAGTGACAGGGCACATGCATTCTGCCCATACGGATTGTGGGAGAGGCACAGTGAGTTTGCAGGCAGGCAGCACCCTGATTTGCAAGGTGATTCCCTGACTTGGAAGAGATGAATTCTTCTAGGGCCTTCAGTTCTTTGTAGTTCTCTATTGTGGCAGAGGTAGTGACTCCCTTCATGGTCCAGTTCTACGGTGAGATTTTTGGGTATTTTTTCTGGAAGCTTATTTTCAGTTCTTCCAAGTGTTTTATATATATAGTTTTTTTTTTTTTTTTGAAACAGGGTCTTACTATGTAGTTGAGACTGACCTGGAACTCACTATGTAGCCCAGGCTGATCTCGAACTCACAGCGATCCTCCTGCCTCATCCTCCCAAGTGCTGGGATTACAGGCATGCATCACCACGCCCGGCTGAGTTATATATATTCTTTATACTGTAAATGTTATTTTGGCATCAACTTACCAGTCTGTGTTATAGTGTCCCAAACCAAGCATCCTGGACCAATACAGTACTGTGCCACATAATGACATTTTGATTAATGACAATGGTCGTGTAAGATCATATTGCCTAGGGATGCCATAGTTGTCTTAGTTTGTGTAAGTATACTCAATGAAGTTCACACAAGGAATAATCATTGATGCCTTTCTTGAGGCGTATCCTCATCCTTAAGTGACACATGACTGGACAGCATATAAGCAGCTGCTGAAGAGAATGAGGATGACCAGCATGGCTGTTAGAAGATGCAAAGATTGTAAACAGTAAAAAAATGTGAGTTGTGAAACACCACGTGCAGTGTGTGCTCTCATTAAAGAAATTAAAAAGCAATGTGTGTATAAAATGAGCCTTAAGGAACATTTATTATCTGTGAAGGAAAAGACTATGAGGTCTTTTCACTATATAAATTTCAATGTTACGAGATAAAACTTTAAAAACAATGTAACAAAAACCCCAAATGAAATATAACTGTCAGATTCTCCGGTCTGGTACACGCGGATACTCCAGCTGCGCAGTCAGAGCTGACAACACAAGCCAGCTGAAGCTGGGCCTGGAGAGAATGTGTGTGCTGTGTGGATAAGTCTAAACCAACTACCAGGACTGAACCCATGGGTGCCCAGGAAGTAAATAAGAGAACGGCTTCTCTGCTTGGAGGCTGCTGGACAGCATGAAGCATTATAGCTTAGAGGAGAATTAAGAAGTGGTGTCATGGGCATCTAAGAAGCCCTGAAGTCAGGAATATCAGCTGAAAACAGAGGCTATGTGAAGCACTGAAGTGGGTCCGTGCAGAATAGGGTCCAAGATTTTTGTAAGAGGAGCAGGGTCTGTAGCGTGTGCACACAAAGCAATTCTGAGAGAGGCATACTAAGTTATAAGAGCCGAGTCAAAGTTTTGGGATTTGTCATTATTTTTATTTTCCATGAAAATGAGATATTCACATTGTAACAAACTGGCATGAAAAATGATAAAAGAAAGCAAAACTTTCTAGCCCAACATTTCCCATCCTCAGGAGAAAATTCTTTGTTTCTTCTGGTTTTTATTTTCCTGAAGACCACACCCGTGACACTCCTTTGACTACCTAGATTTGTCAGCTTAATTTCCTAACATCTCAAATATCGACCTAGAGATTTAGTTAATTTACACCACTCATGTTCACTTCTTACTATGGTATGGTCGTTCATTCATTCATCAAGTATTTAATGAACAACAACTATGCAAAGCTATGGAGGATTAAGAAAAGGGAAAATATTCCTTGTTCTCTTTGACTTTATAACTTAGATGGGGGTGGGTAGAGTGGAGAGAACCAATTAACCACAACAAAAACAAAATTGGAAAAACACATAGTATATCCTGAGTGCAACAGAAAACAATAGAACAAGGAAGTGGGATAGAGTGTGGAATAGGGAAAAAGGTTGCCATTTCAGATAGTATGATATGTGAATAAAAGCCTAAGTGACAGGATCTTTCATTATATTTGAGCCTTACCTTTTTTCTTTTTTCTAACATCTCCAAACTTTCTCCCCAACCTAAAGGGACATCATCATAGTTTAATTCACATAAAAATTGCATACACACATGGTATAGAAAAATGTTAGAGATGCTTGGATGCTTTGACCTAGTTTCATAATGTGGGGAGAAAAAAGACAGTCTTTGCCAGTAAACTGACAAAGGAGCAGAAGTAGGTCAAGACTTCCTTTTATTCTGAGACACAGTCTCACTGTCACTAAATTGTTCAGAAGCAATCTTCCTTCCTCAGTCTCTAAGAGTACTGGGATTATTGACAGACTACCAGGCCCTGCTCCACTTCTTTTAATCGAAGCAGGTAGTCAAAAATTTTATATTCCCTTGTCCACTGTCAGAACAGAGAAGAACAGCTGTCTGAGGCCAGCAACTTCTCCTGTCTTTTTAAAAGATAGAGATGAAATCAGGTGTCCCTTATGGGAGATGAAATACAGTTAGCTATCTTTTGGTGTCACCGGGAAATTGATTAAGGTGGGACAAATGAGAAGGAAAAAGTATCACCCCTCCCTAACCCTATGGAGAGAGGAGGGTACAGATAAAGGGGAAAGGGTTGTGATAAGGGTGGGGAATCTGCCCCAATCCATGTCACTGTCCCAGGAGACAGCCAGATTTTAAGAGTTGGCTGAGTGAATCCCTGAAACAACAGCTTCTAGGCTGGTCAAAGATTTTTGCACACAAACAAACATCAGAGGCTCTGCTCTTGAAGGAAATATGTGAATTTCAGTAAGGGACTTTTCAGTGGATGCCATACTGTGTTCAAACCCCAAGCAACTCCAACTTACATTAGCAATGCCTCAGCTCTTTGCAACATTGAACTGCTTGAAGAAAAAGGAATGAAAACTGAATTTCCAATATAAATTAAGATTACAAAAAAGATTAAAATTTTTTCTTGCATGTCGTAGTTTGAAAGTTCATACCCGAAAAGTTAATTTATCTTTTAACCTATATCTAATTACAATATTTATTATGAATACAACAGAAAACCTGCTTTCCGTAAACGAGCAAATGTTTTTCTTTGTAGGCGATTACAGAAGGAAGGGTTGGCACTTTCACATTTACTTAGCAAATAATCTAATCCATGCGTCAACAATGAAGCTGAGGGAGAAGACATTTGTGTTTACAGGTCGTGGAAGGTTGTTAGGTTGAGCTCATGGGCCAATTCTGGGTCTCAGGGTGAGGACTACTGCCTTTTCTGTTAGGCAAATCCTAAAAGAGCACTGTCTGGCCTGGAGGATGTAAAGCTGGAGATGGAAGAAAGTGTAACATGGGTTGCAATCTAGTGGCCTGTGCACTGTTCTTTTTAATTAATCAGTTAATTTTGTTGTATGGCATGTACACTCCCAGTAGAACCAGACCCCTCCACCAACCAGCCTCACATCCCTCCCCTGGCTCACACCTAGTATTCACCTGGCCCAGGTGGTATTTTAGTTAACATCCCTGGGCAGGAATCTCATGGACGAAATGCTCTGCCCAGTAGCCAGGCGGGCGGAGAGATCCATCAATCGCCGGTCCAGATAAGCGGGGCGTCTCTGTGCCCTCGTCCGTTCGGGTCCCAGGGCCACCCGTGCCCGCACCCAGCCGCGTCTTACCCGCAGGTGCAGATTTGACATAGACATAGGCTCCTCATACTCGCAGATTCCAGCTCCTCCTCTTTGCCTGCTTCCAAAGCGTGGCAGTCGTCAAGGCGACCGCGGGATCCCGGAGACCGACGCCGCGCCCACTTCCGGAGGCGTCCCTGGCGTGTGCGGGTCAAAGGTCGCGTTCGGCTCCGCCCCTCGCGCGCGGACGGCCTACTGGAGTTCTGTGGCGGCTGTGGGGTGAGTGAGGAGCCGGTGGGTGAGGGCGGGGACAAGCGGAGACAACCTGGGTGAGGTAGGGTCAGGGTCGGGCCTACAGCTGCAGCTTCTTGGGGCAACCTGGAATCCGCAGAGAAACCGCGGAGACAGAGGGAATGTGGTACTGAGGTGCTTCCTCTTTCATTCGGGAAGCCGTGGACGGTCGGCACCGCACTTATTTGGGTCCTCAGTATGTGACCCAAAACTTTATCGAGTTCTCTAGGCAGTCCTAAAGCCCAGCGCTCACTTCCGGTGGCACCGCGCCTGAGACTAAGGTGAGGGACTCCGGGACAGTGGCAGAGGTGCCAGGAGGGACGTGGGCATCTTGTCTCCTCCCTGCGTGCCACCAGCTGTCCTGGGTCGTCACGGCCTGACCAAGTTGACCGAACTGCGGGCCCCTGGCAGGTGTTACCGCGCCTTGCCCCGCGCTGCGTGACCCGGAAGGGCACGCAACTCCTTAGGTGCCTTTGTGATTCATTAACTTTGAGCTGGCCCTGTGCTGAGTCTGGATAGGTGTATATCGTCAGGAAACGTTCATGGCTTCTTCAAGGGGTCTGAGAATGCTTGTCAGCACCCAGCGTTTCAATTTCTTTTGCCTCAACTTTTATCGTTTTCACGCGTGTTTAATTTCCAGACCCAGGAAGTGAGTGACCATGGTGCTCAATAGTTTGGATAAGATGATTGAACTCCAAAAGAACACTGCCAACATCAGGAACATCTGTGTTTTGGCCCACGTTGACCATGGTAAGAATCTTTTTTAAGTGGCTTGCTCTCATTAATAAGGGAGGCTTGTCTCTACATGTTTCAGTGGATGACGCTGTGGGCATTTGAGAGTGATGCTTACTAAGAAGTCATTTTCTTTAAAACTTTGTGATGTCAGAAGTATGCTGTAAATGCAGGCATTGAAATAAATGCAGTTAACTAGTGATTAATGTTCTGTGTAATCTGTCATATTTTTAAGCAGAATGAAGCAGGGCAAATTGAGATAGATGAGAGAAGAAAGAACATAGGTTGAGAGAAGTAGAGAATTGGAAAGCTAGGGTTGAATTAAGAAAAAAACTATAGTATAATTGATATCACACAAGCAGCAACGTATGTGCAGAAGGAAATACATGTGGCTGAAGCAGTAAGGCTAGGGATAGCTGATGTGTAGTGTATATGATGCTGGCAGACATTGTTGTAACACCCTACCACTACTTCGTGCTCAGCTTGCTTTTGGTTTCAAACTCCTGAGTTCTGTTAGCCACAGCAAAGTGGAATGGGCATGTAAAAGAAAACTTAACTTGAAGGGGAGGGAGCAATAAGGAGATGAAGAGGCAAGATTATCCTCCACTGGGCACAAGGATAAGGATTAAATGCTCCAGCTGACAGCCTGCATTCAAAACTCCATTTTCAAATTTCTTTGAGCTTCATGTATATATACAGCATGAGTAAAGTAGGATGAAAATCATACCACATAGCAATGAAGGTGAACCTATAGCATGAGTGCCACTGCAGGCAGTTGGTTATCACTGCAAGCTCTAAGGGGTTTGTCATCACTGCCTTGTAGGATGTGAGGATTAAATAATGATAATGAAAATCCTTTGGCAGAAAGGTAAATAATTCATTTTCATTTCTATTGTAGGGTGCTAGCAGGATAAAAAAATAAAACAGGTATGATATAGTCAAATAGAAAATTAGGCTAGACAGATAAAAGTGCTTAAGATGGATCAAAAGGAGCAGAGGCTAGTTAGGTGGCTCTCGCCATTGATACAAGAGCTTGAGTCTGAGTATATTGCGATAATGGGTCATTTTGTAGGTGAAGTCAACTAAGAATGAATTTTTTATACCAGTCCAGTGACTCACTGTTCTCTGTAAACTTTTATAATTAATTATACCGCACACATTTTGATGGTATGAAATAAGACAAGGTGTGTGTGTGTGTGTGTGTGTGTGTGTGTGTGTGAATTAACATATTCACAGTGGGGCCTACATGCATTACTGTCCCAACAAGTGACTTGTGGCACCTGGTGGGACTGTCCCCTTAGAGCATCATGTAATCAAGGTGGGGCTTTTCAGAGGTGGCTGGATCTATGGTGTGTGACACTGGGATTGATTCATGATGCAATGCTAGGATTAAAGGCTCTAGGATTAAGGGTGTGAGTGCTACCCATCCTAAGGGCCAGTAGCCTGGATAAGATATAAGGGGCAGAAAGAGTCTTGTCACTTATCACTTGCTTGGTTTTGCTGTCTTCTGCCTGCCATGAACTGTTTCTCTGTGATGCCCTTCTGCCATGTTATTCTGCCTCATAGCCAGCCAACTATGAATTGAAACTGCTACAAACTTTGTGCTAAATAAATCTTTCTTCCTTTAACTTTGGGTGTCAGGTATTTTGTCTTGCAATGAGAAAAGTCATTAAGATAGCTACTATATGTCAAACATTGTTCTGGTCCTAGGGGTATGGCCATGAATAAAGCAGTGTCCCTACTTTCTTGGTTCTTACGTTCTATGGGGAATTTGTTTTTCCATATATAGGAGCAATTCTACTTTATTGGGTGTCAGGAAAGTGTTGCTCTAGGATTACATGCTAACGTAGTATTCACATGGCAAACATACCAGATTATTAAAGATACTCAATTTTTCCACTGATAGATCTCTGTTTTAAACTATTATATAGATTTCCAAGGCTTTTGTAAAGTTCATAGAGTGTAGTAAGAACTTATCTTAAAGAAAAACCCCTCCTTTTGTTAGAGCAGCTCAACCGCAGTAATTATGTGTCCTTATGGCATTTTTTTAGACAAAATTACCTGTTTGTACTACTTGAAATTGTGTGAACTTTAGTGGTAGTCTAATAAAGGTGACTATACATGTACATGTGGCATGTACAGAGAATTTATTATAAGGTGGAATCTATGTTAGGTTTGGATATGAGGTTGCTTTGGAGGATAAAGTGTAGCTGATGCCCGCTGCAAACTGTATTTCGAACAGAAAATATGAGTAAACTTCCTTACTTAATAGCATTAGTTAACAGTTTAACTGGAAAATTCCAGATAAGGTCATACATGGGGAAATGTGGCAAATGCTATATTTTACCTAGGGTGCCTTTCAGAGACAAAAGTTGTAGCTGTCTTTTTGTCATTCTGAGATATCAGGGCTTACGTTTATAAACATAGTCACTAGTATAGGTATAGGATGGTTGATGATAATAATTTTGGTAAACCTGACCAAATTCCTATAGGACAGATGAGTCAGAAATGCTCTGTGTTTTGAATGGTATGATGATTTGCCTCATCAGTTAAAAGTCTTTGATCGTTATTGAAAGTCTGTCTCAATTTAAGAGTCTTCTTGTGCTTTAAAAAGTTGCCTGCTAACTTTCCAGGTAAGTGGATGAAATCTTCAGCAAGACTGGGTTTCAGCACAGTGGAGTACCAGAATTTCTGACCTTCCAGGTGGTATTCTGTTCACAAGTCTATAGGACTCTTAAAATGTCACTTTTTGTCTTGTGGCAACTGGTGTAGCTAAATAAGAAATTTTTGTGAAACCAATTTTTATGACCAGACATTAACTGTGTAGGAGCAATCTATCTTCTGATTCCTTTTTTAAAATAGCATTAGATTCTAATTAATGTTATTTTGACAGGAAAAACTACTCTTGCTGATTGTCTCATATCTAGTAATGGAATCATCTCCAGCCGACTTGCAGGCAAGGTATGTTTTATTTGATCAGTGCTTGTTGCATTTCAGAGAGTATTTGCTCTCTACAAAGTCATGAGCCATTTGCTTTGTTCTTTAATGGTCTCAATAGTATAAAACATAGTACTTACACTGGGCATGGTCGCACACACCTGTAATTCTGGGAAACAGAGCAGCAGGATCACCAGTTTGATTCTAGCCTGGACAACTTATCGAGATCTTGTCTCAAACAAAAATTTTTTCAAGGCTGGAATGTAGCTCAGTGTAATAGCTTTGAGATCTTTCCCCAATACCACAAACAGCAATTACAACTAAACATAGTTACAGGCCAAAACCTTGGCCTTTATTGTCACCACTGAAGCTTTGTAAAAGCCAGTGAAATGGTGATAATAAATATTGTCTACCATTATTATTTTTTTAATGTTTAAAATCTGTAAACTTTGGCAAAGGAATAGAAGTTTCTATGCCTTTAGAAACTTTCTCTGCTTAGACTATGTCAGTTAACCTGTGAACAGGAAAAGAATGGCTATATTTGTGGTAAATAGAATTCCTGCACATGCCACTCTCTGAATTCTCCTGGACTGCTCAGTCATTCTTCACTGCAGTGTAGATGTGCAGTAGTCTGGGAGGATACACAGTATGGAATACATTTGAGTCCTAGTGGTACTTTCATCTATGTTTTCCTTCCCTTCCACAAGTTTTCCTTCTCCTTCCAGCCCCCTGCTCCCTAAAAACAAAAACGGCACTCTATACTAATCTTCATTAATCTGTAAGCATTTAAAACAAAAATTAGCTTGTATTAATGTTGCATTTTAGCTGAGTGGAAGTAAGGAAGCACATATTTATTTTTCCAGTTAAGGTACATGGACAGCCGAGAAGATGAACAGATCCGAGGGATCACTATGAAATCCAGTGCCATTTCACTACATTATACAGAAGGTAAATTGATTTTTGTTTTAACGAAGCACAGCTTTGCATCTTTCTTGCCCTCCTTTTTCTCTCAATTAATTGCATGCCTCCATTTCTTTGACTGAGATTCCATGTATTTTATTATGGCCTCCCCCAACTATCCATTGTAAGAGTGAGGCCATCTAGGCCTGGCTCAAGAGCAGAAGAGCTGGCAGTTTATAGCTCTCTCTTACCAGGGGATTGTGTGGATATCGTCACAGGAAAGTTAGGATCCCTGGGCTAAGCTGGCTTGGCCTTCATGTTCCTTTTCCTGGCTGGATCCTTGTTCTGCCCCATTGTTGGCAAATTAGATTTGAAGTCTTATTGTCTCAACTATG